CAGCTACTTGGAATTGTCAGCAAGGCCCCCTGTTCATTTGCCAACTCTAGTGTGCTAGCTTGGGTCTAGTGTGCTAGCTTTCCCCACATGGTCTCAAGATGACTACTACACTCCCAGCATCACATCCTCTACAACTACACCCAAAGACAGGAAGTGGGGTTTGTTCTTCCTTGGGGAGGAAAATTTTTCCTTCAACCATGTCCCCACCACAAGCTTTCCCATAAGGCTAGGTCTCGTGATCAACCTTAAACCAGTCGCTACCAAAGGGAAATTGTATTATCACAAGTGGTTTAGACTCAAGGTTCTCAATGGGGATGAGTTTGAGAGATGTCAACGCCCACAAGGGCTTTTGGAAATGTGTGAGGCTGTTGCAGGGACTGGATAGTGCAGTTGGTATGCAGTGGTTCGGGACAAAGGCTGTTAATAGTAGTGTACAGTACAAAGCAAGGAAGGACCTGCTGGCCCCAAGCCGGAATCATTGTGTGATCACATACATGAACTTAGAAGAGACCTTTCCCCGGTTAACCACAAAGTGACCACAGCCCTATCCCATAACTTGACTGAAGTCTCAGAGACACCACTACTGCTCATTTAGGTTAGTGGTTCTCAGCTGGCACAGACTTGATGCCCACCCTATAGGTGAGCTTCAGGGAAGAAAGATACTGTTAACCATAGGGTTATTGTGAGACCCACTTGAAATAATCAGGTAAAACTCTCAGCCCGTGGCAACCCCACTGTGTCCTCATCTAGAAACTGTTAAACAGGCAACTAGACACCTTCCTCATCTTCACCATGCTTCTTGCCATCTCTCCAGAGGCCTCTATTAGACCACAAGTGGGCTTAGGAAGGAGCATATCAGTGGCACCATAGGATCAGAATGAGATGGACTTTGAGCCACATAGGGAAGCTTCTGGGAAGAGGAGGGCTGGGCCTGAGGACACAACTGACAGAGAGCTTCACTAAACTGGGGTGTGTCCTGGTGCAGGGTTCTCCCAGCAGGGAAGCCCTGGCATCACACACCTTACAGGGCAGTTGGGAGACTAAGCTCAAGCAGAAGAGTGTAGGAAGACCAAAGATGGGGTTCCGATTCCAACACTCCTTGTGAACAAACTGAGAGCATCCCCATGGAAGCTAGAGTAGGGGTTGACAAACTATAGCCCTCAGGCCAAAGCTGGCCCACCACTTATTTTTGTAAATAAAGTTTTATTGACATACAATTGCCTATGACTGTTTTTGTGCTACAAAGGTCATAGAGAGTAGCTGTGTTTAGTAGTTGCAACACAGGCTCTCTATGTCTTACACAGTTTAAAATATTTATTCTTTAGCTTTTTATTAAAAAAAAAAAAAAGGTTCTGATTCCTGATCTAGAGGACTTCATTCACATAGGCTCCAGTGACAGGACTATCAGTTTTGGATAGTGAGACCCAACTGTGATATCAATGGCACCACCTAAATTGTGCAGTGCACAAGCTAATCAACTGTAAATATCAGCCCTGCTTGAGAATTGACTGGTGGTGTTTGAGAGTTCAGGAGAGGGAAGAAAGCAGTATCTGTGAAATGTCAGCACCTCGCAGGGGGACCATATTTCCTGCTGAAAGTCAAAAGCATGAAGTTTGGGAGGATCTGAGCAGCCAGGGAGGTGAGTCTAAATTTAGATTCTCCAAAGCCGATTTGTAAAACAGAGCCCCAGGAATCCCAAAAAGGGACAGTTGGCACACACCATTTTGTCTCTGCTTTGCCTCCAAGTGTTAAAAGGCCGGATGAGTGAAAGAATAATTAATTGGCTTCAAATAAACTGTTGCTGGAGTGAGTGAGAAATTAGTGGTGAGCTAAAGCTCCATTGTCACGAGTCCTGCATTTTAGTACAAAGCTTGCCACAGAGTCACAGGAGCCTGGGCTGCCCTGGAAGGAGCTACATGCATTGCCCTTGCTAACTGTCATTCTAGCACAGCTGAACAGGCGACCTTTCTGTCTCATGCAGTGAATGCCAGCTCCTTAGGTTTCAAATCACACCTGGGATTCTGAGCAGCTCTGAGCCACCCTCTGCAAGCGGAGAATGGCTGGGCTTTGTCCTGAGCGCCTGCTTCACCCTGAGAGCTCCTGAACCCTCTCCATCCCCTACAGAGGCCAAATCCAGATGACAGTCTGGACCTTTCCAGGGGTCATGGGCCATGCTTCTCAGGATATCATGCACAAAAGGAATCACTAATCTAAGACTTCACAGGGTTGAGATGTTTTGTAAATCAATCCACTTGTGGAGAATGGCAGAGGGTTTGCAATAAACACTGTAGAGGAATTGGAGAAGGGAATTTAGAAAATGAAGAGGTTTGAGAAGAAGGACAGAGAATTAGGCAGACAAGGGCTTCCTGGATAGAGTGTGAGTTCTGAGAGAGGCGTACGAGGCGGAGAGGGTGAAGTTCAGGAGGGTGGACTTGTCTGAGCAGCTGGGCTTGTGAGAAGAGCAGCAGGAGTCGGGAGACACAGCCGACCATCTAGGAAATGTGGAAGGCACCGTTCTGCAGGCAGAGTACATGGTACTTGGGGCCCTTCCCATCCACAGTTACTTCCTCTGTGCACTTTCCCCACTGTACCTGTGAGGCCTAAATTCGAGCTGGAGGACAGACAGATAGAAAGCTAAACAACAGCCCAGGTTAGCATATCATATGTACCAGATACAGTACACAGGTGAGCACTGCGAGACCTTAGAAAAGGAAGAGATGTCACTGAGAATTGAAACAGCCTCTTTAGACAGGAAGGGGGACCTCATGTGAATTCTGAGTGTTGGGCAGGATTTCAGCAAGTGAGAAGGAAGCCAGAGAACATTTCAGGAACCAGGAAGGCTCAAACAGAGAAACGAGACAGGAATTAAGAGTATATTTAGAGGTCCAACAGGAAGGAAGGTGTTATAACTGGAACTGAGACCCCTTGAGATAACGGGATAGCTGCCCACTCTAGCTGACAATGTGTTGGGAAGCTCACCGAGAAAGATACACACACGCAGTCCTTCCCACATGTGAGAGGAAAAGGAAGAGTCTAAAAATAAATGAAGCACCTCTTAATTATTCACATTATCTGCATTGCAGCAATTTCCACCAAATCCTTTCAGTTTGCTGTGATGTCATAGGGTCCATTCCTGTCTGTCTACAACCAGTGGGAGCTGGAAAGGGGGGAAGCTTAGGTGTCTGTCCTCACAGAGCAGCATATGTGATTGTCTCTCTTGGCTATGTCCTTGGGAACTAGATCACCTGTGTGGGTAGAAGTGCGAGAAGCTTACCTGGCTTGGTTGCAGGAGTCAAAGGACAGACAGAATGGGGATGCAGGGCTCTTTGGTTCTCCTGAGTTGGGCATGCAGGAAGATTTCACTAGCACAGGCCAGAGACTGGCTTGGAGGGTGGCCCCAGCACCATCTCTAAGTGGCCAGGTGTCCACAAACAGAGTGAACGGCATTCACTTATACATGCATGGAGTGTCTGTTAGCCCTGGAAACACTGAGCTGGTGCTCACAAACCCCAGAGTCTCTAGGTAGAGATGTTCTCAGTATTCAGAGATGGAAGCATGAATGTCAGTTATTCACTAATGGGGTTGCTTGGTAGGATGGTTAATAAACTGGGCCCTTCTGAATAAAGGTCAGCAGTAATTCTTAGTCAGAGAAGCCAAGCAGGCCAATACCATCCCCACTTAAGGACCATGGGACTTGTTCACTAAGATTGCTTCCTAATATGAAGTTCTCTAAATCTATGGTGGTTTTGTTGCTGGACCCAATAAAAACTACAGAGTATAGTCCCTGAAGAGTTGATAAGTCATCAGCAAAGTTAGTAACATCCACTTCAGATGTAAGGGAATGTTTGACAACAGGTGACAGATGACATCTGTTGAACACTTGCTATGTTCCAGACCCTTGGCAAATTTCTTTCATTAGTTCTCAAAGGAAATCTGACTATTTACCATTTCTGATCATCTATGTTCCGTAATTTGTCTCCTTAATTTTAGAGTATTGGATTCATGGTTGCTTTTGCTTTATTTATCATTTGCAGACTTGTGCAGCTAGGAAAGTGTCCTTTCAGGGGGCCCTGCAGTGTGATGAGAATTCAGAAGCCTTGCCAGGTCCCCTCCTGTGTGCTGGATACAGTGTTTTTTCTCTATGTGTCATGGACTGTATGAATTTAGAAAACCTGCCACTTTCTTGGAAGCTACAGTTCAGAGTTTTGAGTCAACACTGCTAATTTTGCAGATGTTTTTCTCTAAAGTTAGGTCCTATGCCTGTAATTTGAGTCCATGGCCAGCAGAGGGGAGCAGCCAAGTTTGGATTAGACTCATTGCTTTAAAGAGCCACACAGCTCCTCCAAAAAGAATACAGCCCACCCTACCAGCCCTGGAATAGCATTGGGAAGTCTGTGCCCTCATTTCTGGGCAGAGAGACCTTTTTTACTGGTAGGAGTACAGTTTCCTTGTAATTTTATATGTGTGCTTTTGCCACCTACATGGAAAGCAAGCAATTACAAATGTCACTAAATCTCAGTCTACACAAATTCCCTCTTAAAACATTGAAGGACATTTGCAGAAGAAGAAAGAGGCCCACATGGAAAAACAAGACTATTGATCTTTTATTTTCGATCTGCAACTAGTTCCTTTTGACTCTCACCCTTCCTAGCTAGTACTGATATGTGGGTTTGGAAAGCATAACAATTTAATTCTGCAAAGGTCAGAAGGGATGACTCCCACCCACAGTCTGCACATGCTAACCTTGGGGGAGCAGGCATTGACATAAAAAGCATACCATCTGATGGCCTTATCAAATCAACCTGTCTTCCCTCTCTACCCAGGGAGCTCTGCACACAGCAGGGAGGGTGACAAGCTGTGCAAAGCTGGAATCCCCTGAGCAAGCAGTGTTTCAGCTGGCTGGACAGATCAAATAACACTTGGGCTAGTTAACAAAAGATGCAGTGGGAAGGTGTTAGAGCCAGAGTGTGGAAATTTACCCAACATTGTTTCTTTGACAGGGAAGGAGACTCGGCCTGAAAGATGCCACATTCCTGCAGGCTCTTTGCGGACAGCAGAACAGACTCAGTCAAGGTGGTGTGGATACGTGGGTGACAGAGAATGCTACCCACAGCCAAAGGCTCTGGAAGATCCTGGCCTGGGAGTTGTGTTCCCTTTGGACTTGGGATATCAGGTGTAACTTGGTGTGAAGCTCATGAAAGACGCTTGGCTTTCTCTAGCTTTTTTCCCTAATACTCACCAGACTGGTTTGGTTTTTGAACACTAAGGTAAGCTGGCTTTTTTTAAAAAAAAAGCTGACAGAAATAGAAAGAAGCCCCTAGGAGTCTCCAGAACCGTCTGACAGGATTGCTTCATAGTACTGAGAACATAGAGGGGGGCTCTGATACCACTGAGCTTTGGACCCTTTTAAGTGAAGGAACAGCTCAGCAAACAGTTTCTGCTCTTCAGCCAGAAGCCGCCTCTTACAAAGAATTCAAAGGGGGAGTTGCTGCATATTGTACTCTGAGATCCATGGTGACAGAAAACGTCACCTTCCCCCAGATAACGATCCTGGCTTTTCCTTCTGAAATGTTAGATTTACAGGAAGGATGAGCCATTCTAAGCATCAAGGAGGATTCAGGAAGCAGAAGAGTTGGTGGACATCTATCCCCGCCTAAGTGAGGAAAACGATCTGAACTTCCAGTGTTGCAGCTCAGCCAGCAGAGGACTACGCCAGGAGCAAAAGCATACCTTGGCTGGGGAACTTTGCAAAATGAGGTGTTCCAGAGAAGCCACTACCCAGGACTTGGCCTTTCCTGCCTGCCCTTTCATCACATGGGCAGTCCTAGACCACTGAGTCAACAATGGCTGAGAAGGGTGACTGCTTCGCCAGTGTCTATGGGTACGACCTTGGTGGGCGCTTCATTGACTTCCAACCCCTGGGTTTTGGTGTCAACGGGCTGGTGCTGTCAGCTGTGGACAGCCGGGCCTGCCGGAAGGTGGCTGTGAAGAAGATCGCCCTGAGTGACGCCCGCAGCATGAAGCATGCGCTCCGGGAGATCAAGATCATCCGGCGCCTGGACCATGAAAACATTGTGAAGGTGTATGAAGTGCTGGGGCCCAAGGGCACTGACCTGCAGGGTGAGCTGTTCAAGTACAGTGTAGCCTACATCGTCCAGGAATACATGGAGACTGACCTGGCACGCCTGCTGGAGCAGGGCACACTGACAGAGGAGCATGCCAAGCTGTTCATGTACCAGCTACTCCGCGGGCTCAAATACATCCACTCTGCCAACGTGTTACACAGGGACCTGAAGCCCGCCAACATCTTCATCAGCACAGAGGACCTTGTGCTCAAGATTGGGGATTTTGGGTTGGCAAGGATTGTTGATCAGCATTACTCACACAAGGTATGTCTGGCTGGAGGGGCTGTGGCCAATGGCCTGTAGAATCCTGAAGAATGCACACATTCCAGATGGTGTCCCTTGATCCATGGTAATCAAGAGAGTGCAATCAATATTTGGGGGAAGGTAGAAGTGCTAGAAAGGCCCCTGGCCTGAAAAGCTTTTGTTGGGGGTAGTGCAGAGACCTGGTTCCTAGTCTTGGTTCTGTCATGTGGCTATAACCAACTCCAGGCTATACAAGAAGAAGGCGTTATCGGGTTAATAATATCTCACAGTTATTGCAGGCTGATCAGGTGTGCAAACTCCTGAACGAGTATAAGATAAAGGCTAAATAAAAGAGGCAAATGGAATGATTTCAGGGCTCCAGAAGGATCAAAACCCTCTCACAGAATTCGAGATTCTCTCAAGGCTAAGACCAAGACCTTCTCTGGGTGGCCCATATTTATTTAGTTATCACAAGAAGGGAGGGGAGTACTCAAGAAGGGTGGAACCACTCAAGGACTTCTCCAAGTAAGGTATTAAATTAATCCACCCAGGAGTGAGATGCCTGAAGCTACAGTCTTTATCTAGTTGAGGTTGGATCCAGGTGTCCTTGGCTGTGATCTTGTTTTACCCTTTGAGGCTTTCCAGCTTCATCTGCCAATACAGGACTTAGTAGGGATCAGTGACTCACAGAGGTTCACTTACTATGAGTCCACTGCCCATCCCCAGGCAAGGAGCCAACATCTTGGACAGACCCACAAGTAAACATGAAAAGCCAGTTGGTTAATTTAAATCCTGGTCAAGGCTGCTTTGTAGTGATCACCATCAGATTGGACTAAACAGTCTCTAAAACTTCTTCCAGCTCTGTGGGTTTAGGATTGTGTGGTTGGTGAATTTGCTTTTGTGTCCTCTTATCCTTGCTGTCCACATAACCATGTCATCAATCTACTGTCTGCTTAGGATACCTGGTGAGGCCTCCCATCCTATGAGCCCACCTGCTCCTTCCATAAAAGCAGAGCTATTCTGTGTCCCTTCTGCCAAGTCAGTGAGAGTGGGAAGGGATGGCTAATCTGAAAACTAACATTCACTGTGCATAATCCAGCTAATGATTCAGTTCAGGGACCCATGGTGCCCTTGCCTCTCAGTGTGGGAGGAAAGCCATGGGTGTCAGGATGCCTATTAAGATCCCCTGTGGTGGGTAACTAAATCCTCCCCCAGCTACACGGGTCAGAGCTGAACTGGACACTCTGGTGGAGACAAAGGTAACACTGACATTTTTCCTTTAAGGCCTAAACCTCCTCTTCCTTGACCCCTGTCCTTTCAGGAGCTGCAAGTTCTCAGACATTCTGTCCCTTACCCTGCCTAGGTTCCTGCCATTCTGGGGGTCCTCAAGCCCCCAAGGTGAGCATATCACCAGGATCCCTTCAACAGATATTAGCAAAGTGGTTTCCAGTCTCCTACCAAAAACTTTGGCTTTTAAATTCTTTATTAGAGTAAAGCATCCCCTAGGAAGCAGGTGTACCATGGACTGTTAACAGTCACAGGTTGGCAGGGGTAGCTCTGACCTTGCATTTGCTTCAGCTGTCACTCTGAGGCCCCATTCCTCTGCTCTCTCTTCCTGCTGCTCAGCTTGTGCAGCTGCGCATAATGGTATCACAGCCAAGGCAGGCCTGGCTCCCTGTGCCTCTCTCACTAGCTGGAACTGGGGCTCCAGCCCAGTCCCCACTTCAGCCCAACTGCCTCTGGGTCATTGGTACTACAAATACTTTGCCACCTTAACCATGAGCTTGCCCTCTGCCCCTATTCCTGCAGTCAGGCCATCTGTCAAAACTGACAGGCGACTCTGTAGGTAGGAATGTCTGTGATGGAAAAACAACAGCAACAAAAAAGGACTCTTTTCTGTCTTCCTAACACCCTGGGCTGTTTCTTCCTTTCCTTTCTTCTACAAAGCAATGACTCCAAACAATTGAACCAAAAGTTTTAACCCAAATCAGTTTTTGTTTGGCAAAAGACCCAAAGAATCCATCAAAACCACTTTTGAAGTAGAACAAACCAGTACATTGGAGAATCACCATTTGATGAACAGGCTGTTTTGGTTTTATTTTGTTTTGGTTTTGGTTTGATTTGATTTTTTGTGACTGAGTCCTGCTACACAGTTCAAGCTAGCCTCAAACTCACAGCAGTCCTCCTGCCTCAACCTCCTGAATACCAGGATTCTACACGTGTACCGCCAAGGCTAGCTGGAAGGGGCTCACTGAGTGAAGCGTCACAGGGAAATAATTTAGTACAACATATTGTAGCCTTCAGTATACTCAGAAGGAGAGTTCGGTGAGGTGATCACTGGTTGCAGTAATAATTCCAAGGGGATGGCGTGGTGTGAACAAGCACCACTGTGTGAAGACTTAGAGCCTGTGGTCCCTTCTGACGCTTGCTAGCTTGGATATGAATGGTCTTTGGAGCCTCAGCTTCCCCACCTTTGACAGGTATAATAATACAGTCCCTGTTTGTCCCTCTGGCTTGTCGTTAAAAATCAAAATGGACGTGAATGCGTAATTCCTTGGAAAGCAGTAGGGACTCCGTCCATTCACTCAATGGCTGTTTGCTTAGCACCCTCTGAGCCTAGGCCCACGGAAGAGCCAGGGCTCCTAGGAGGAGCATGGGCCTGCGGCCCGTGGTGTTATCTGGTCATGCCTTTCCCATGTTGGGACTTCCATTTTTCCAATGCAGAAGAATTTAGATGTTCTGACTTACTCTTGTTGGGCTCGCTTCAATAAACTATCTGTGGGAGGTTTAAAAAAAAATAATTGAAGCTGGTTCCTAACCTGGTAGTTCCCGCAGCGTCCCACGCTCCTGGGTTTGGTGGGTGCCACTCGCTCCCAGCCTGCTTCCTCCCTTCTGAGCTCTGCTTTTAGCTCCCTGCCCTCTTACCCACCCCCAGTGATGATGAAAGGGCTTTATATTTGGTGCTTTTATTTATCCAATGTGCATTTAAATCAGTTCTCATCTAATCCTCATAATGCTGCGAGGCACTTAGGGCAAATGGTCCATTTGAAAATGGAGAGAAATGGCTTTCTCACGCTTACACACTGCGGTAGCAGGAGGGGCCAAAACTGGGCGACAATTGGTGCACCATCTTCTTGAGGATGTCTGCCTGGTCTCTGGGTTGCAATTAACCTGTCCTTCATCTGAATGTCCCTGTCACCGTTTCCTGTCCCGTAGCCTGCATTTTCTAACATTCATTGTTCTCTGCTCTTACGTGTATTTGTGTCTGCATCTTTTCTCTCCCAGGTGGAGAATCCCTTGCTCTCGTTCCTCTTGAGTTCTCCCTTTGAGTCTGACCACTGTGCCTGAGACATGGCCCTCAAATACTTTTGTTGACCGTACTGAACAGATAGAAAAATAGTCATCTACCAGTTCACTGCAGATAGGAAGCTGCTGCTGGGTTCATTGACTCCATGTGGCAAGAAGCCTTGAGTCTCAGAAAAAGAGCTCATCATTCTTCCAGACAGAGGACTTGTTAGGGTCAGACATATGCATCTGCTCTCCCTAGTGTGCTTGGAGAATGATATCTACAAGCCAGCTCCTCTACACTTAACCTTAGACTGAGGGTGTAGCTTAGGAGTAGAGAGCTTGCCTAGCACACACTGGGCCCTGGGTTGAATCCCTAGTACTACTAAAAATAAACAGACTTAACTTTTCCTGAAGTTTGATGGGTCCTGGTTTTCTTTGAAGAAGACTGGGTTCACCTGGGCTGCAGCTAGCACCTTTCTGTGCTTATAAAAGAGATTTTCCTTTTTCCAGACTGATACAGCCCAGTGTCAGGGATAGGCTAAATGGTCCAGCTAGGGACTGGATTGAGCTTCAGAGCTAAGTATGACCCACCCAGCACTCTGGAGCAGCCTGGCTCTCACCTCCTCCATCTTTCTCATGGGTGGACAACATGTGTTTTCACTTCCATATCCCTTTATGTGGCAAGGGCCTGCCATGGGGCAGGGGCCTGTTATGTTGGTATAGGGAAGGAGATGCCAGAGCAAATGGACTTCTCTGCAGTAATGAGCACCTGACCACACTGGGCTCCAAGCCACAGCTGGGTAGCCTTCTGTGTACTTCCGCCACCCCACCTCTGCAGTATTTGCAAGGTCTAGAGGGCAGCTAAGGGCTCTGTAGCCAAGAAGTGGGGAGATGCCTTGGGGTGGCAATGCTCTGATGGTTTCTCAGCAGAGGCAGCCTGGAAACACAGCTGCCTGTGTTATTACACATCTGACTAATGTGTGACCCTGAACAAGTCCTTTTTCTTACACACCTGATTCCTAGAACAAGAGACCTGTAAAAGACCTCATAACTGCCTTGTTTGTCCTTTTCGCTTCACAGATGATAAAACCGAAAAGGGACCAGCCCTGCTGGTCAGACACAGTAAGCACTGAGCATTGTTTTGATGCTGTGTCCACTATTTTTGCTGAGCCTCACTTTTCAGTTATATTGCCCATCCAATGGGCGTGGTCCTATCCATTCCTCTTTTTCCCTAGGGCTCTTGCTAGGGTCAAATGAAAGTGTGGATGTCAAAGTGCCTCCAGAGGTACAAAGGGCTAAATCACTAACAGCTCTTTGCCTCAGTAGATGCCGTGGTAATAATTGGCAGACATGATGAGAACCCAACTTGACATCATGGCCCAGGTGCAAGTCATGAGCCCCTACCTTAGCCTGGCTTCCCTGCCTACGGTCCTATTTAACTTCCTGTCTGCCCATTTCCTCAGCAGGCCTGCTAATTAGTTCCTTGTTATTTGTGTCAAGAAGAGGCAGCTGAATGATCGGAGCATGTTTTCCTTTGAATCTGTCCTATTAGGAAGTAGATGATCTCAAAAGAAAAAAAAAAAAAAATGTCGTTAATGACTTCACTGAGCCCTATGTAAACTCCAAGAAATGTCAAGACCCCTTCGGAGAGCACACAGAGCACCCAAGCTGCATGTTGACAGCCTGATTAGTGGTGCGAATGCATCCCTTCAGGAAAGGCCACCCATGTCCTG